CCCGGGGCCTCCCTCAGCGTCCCGGAGCCCCGGGACGGTGCGTTCCCGCCGGTGAGACCCATTGCGGTGTCAGGGAGCGGGCTCCGTTGCGTTTCAGGCTGAGTTAGTTCCTCCTGAGGCTGGGCTGTCCCGCCCGAGACAGGAGGGCCCGTTCAGCTGAGCGGCGCCGCCAGCGGCAGCGAGGTATCGTTCAGCGGATGCGTTTAACTTTCCAGTCTTCCATCCCCGTTTGAGTTTAATTTTCTTACGTCAGCGCAGTTCTGTGCCCCTTCTTCGATTATTTTTCCTCCTCTTTTTTTTTCCATATTCTGTACTGATTCGAGGCTTCCCTCAGGAATTGTTGCCGGCTTTATACTCCTTCACACATCCCCCATCCTAGGAAAACAGAAAACCCACAGCGTTTAATCATCGCGTTTGTCTCACACTCTCCTCGTGCTGAGCCTGGCTTGGTTTAATTTTCAAGTCCTACGTAATAAACTTACCTGAACTCAATGAGAGTACTAAATGTGTAAAAATGGCTCACAAGATTGAAGCGTATCTCATTTCCTGATGATTTTATGCTTCCCTGCATCTGTCTTCCCAAAGATCACATTTTATCTTCCTTGTTTTCATGGCTTTCAAAATACCCTATTTATGCTGTATGCTGTTCTGAGGAAACGCTGGCAGGTCCCATCCAGTCTGAGGCATTGCCAAGCTAAATTTCATACTTGTGCTAAATTTCAAACAAGATTACATCTTTAGACATCCCTGGACTCATAATGTCTGCTTAAAACAAACATATGAAAGGATCTGTAACTCTCTATTACAGAAAAAGCAGTTTGATATGTACAGTTAAGTCACCATCTATGCAATAGTTTTTGTGATGATAAATTAGCATGTGTGTGTACCTGGCCATTAGGAACATTGGAAGGGAGCCCCTGAGGCAAGAGAACAATCCTTGTTACCGTTGGCAAATAATAGAAAACTTTAACTGTGCGAGGCAGGTGCCATCATAAAACTGCAGCGGACCTCCACTTTTCTGAGCTTTTCTACATCGAATGACTCAGCCAGACCCTTCCTTCTGAAATCTCCACTCTAAATACTCGCTTTCAGAGGAGAAACCGTAGTATACTAAAGGAATGTGTGTTTACGTTAGAAATAATCACACTGAATTTTTACTATTCTGAATAATAAGGTCCCAAAGGTCCAACTATGACTGGGGTTTGGAGACTTGCTTTCCACTAAGATTGTGATTCATTGTGACCCATTAGTGTCTTTGCACTGATTTAACTAGTCATAAGTCAGATCATGGACCTTGTTCTTTCCTTAGTAAAAGTATTTTAATTATTAATTGTATTAATAATATACTTATATTAATGGTTATAGTAATCTATATTAATTATAATTCTTATTTATGATTTAAATACTATATGGCACAATATAAAGAGCAGTAGATTTGTTGAGCTCACATTCAAAATTCTTTCCTACTGCTTAGGTTAGCAAAAGATTTCACATTACTTTTGAGAGGCGGATTTAACTCTATAAAGCACAATTTATGGAAGTACCCAAATAAACATTTTTGGGGGACTATATGATATTTGTCATCCTGACTAAAATGTTGGGGTGCAAATTAGATGATAGTTTACCCATTTAAGTATTGGCTTTATATATTTTTTTAAGTAGTTGTACTAATTTGGCACATTCTTAAGCACCAGTGTGAATAAATTTACTAAACGTTCCATTTTTTAGTGTATTTCCTGAAACTTAAAAGAGTCACCTTTAAATTGTGGGACTGTGTTTGTTGCATGCTGCTATAAATAGTAACTCCTGTCTTCTGGTTAGTAAACAATCTAATCTGTTTACTTAAGAATTTAACTGACAAAGAAAGGCAGTATAAGTAGCTGGTATTGCTCGACTAGTTCTTCTTGTCGCCACTTAGAAAGCTTAATGAGAAAGCTTTCAAATGTCTACACTCACGTACTGGTCAAGTTTATTTTCTAAACTCTATTCACCTTCTTTACAGCTACCTGCAAACTCAAGAAAAGAAGAGATCCATAATTGTCCATCATTAATTTTATTAAAAAGATGATCAGAAGAAAGTAGGACAACAGTGGCTCACCGTTAGAATTATCTGGAAGAAAGCATGAGTAAGGAGAAGGTATAAAAATGTTTAATTGAGATAAGGTGTTATGAATGAAAATGATTAGCTAATTAGGAAGACCTCTATCCCAGCCTGCCTTTAAATTGCATTCAGGAACTTAGTTAAATTGGAAGTAACTCAGAGCTGAGAGAAAGGATGCTATGCTTCTATAAATTTGCTATTTTGATTTTATAATCCCTATTGGCTTGGAGGTCTTAAATCTGCAGCTCTGAAAAATAGGTAACTTTTATTCCATCTTCTTAGGGCACGTCTAATTTAATGAAATCAAAATAAGAGCAAAAGGTCGTTAAATACATTTTTACTCAATGGACAGATGGTACTGACCCAGAATGCATTTATTCTAATAACTTAAGTAAAAATGGGAAAGCTTGTTTGAAAATGAACAGACTGGTAACCTTTCAGAAGGAAGTTATTATACTGTGGCTAATATTTAAAATTAAGGTAACAAAGCAAATAAGATATCTGGAGCATTTTTGCTTGAGTTTTTGTGTATTGGAGAAAATCTGGGGAACAAGGTTGCTGGAGTATTGCAGAACTGTCCATCTCAATCTTTATCTTATCAGCCCAAAAGCTTTTCTTGAGGCCTCCAAGGTGGATTTTGTTCACGTAACTTAAAGGCCTTGTTTTCCAACTTTCCTACAACTGTCGTCTTTGCTGTATTTCCTTAACTGACTTTTATGACTTTAGATTAGATCTAACATGTGTTTCTCTTACCTATTACTGACTTTTAAATTGGTTTTGTTTCCAATAGTACAGTTAGTTTTGAGACTAACAGCTTGTGATTTGGGACAAAATTTTGAGAGTCTATAAAGAGCTTATCTGAAAGTTTATGTAAAGTTATCTTATGTCTCGTACTGATTTTGAACTTGGCCTCTAATCTGTTTTTCAGTCTAACTTTTGCTTTGCTAACTTTAGTAAGAAGATCTGCAAACACCAGAAGGTCTTAAGT